ATTACAGGCGTGAGCCACCATGGCCAGCCTAATTTTTAAAATTTTTTGTAAAGATGGGGTTTCACCATGTTGCCCAGGCTAGTCTTGAACTCTTGGACTCAAGAGGTCTACCTGCTTCAGCCTCCTAAAGTGCTGGAATTACAGTATGAGCCACTGCGCCCAGCCAAGTTCTACTTTTTCTAGTGCTTGCTGCCAGGACTTTATTCACCTTCGGGGCCACTTGTCATGAAGTACTATAATCACATAGATCTCATTTTCCCACTGATAAACTAGGAGCTCTGTGAGGGCAAGGACTTTGCCTCGCTTACTGCTGTGTCCCTCGGAACTGGTCTCAGCAGTAAGCACCGATAAATAACTGTGAAAAGAGGCCGGCCGTGGTGGCTCATGCCCGCCTCGGCCTCCCAAAGTGCTGGGATTACAGGCATGAGCCACCGTGCCCAGTCAAGCGTGTGTTCTATTGTCCAGCGCTGTCTGTGTTTTTTAGGACCCTAGAGCACAGTCCCAGTTTCCCATGGAAATTAACAGCAGCATGTATATTTCTGCTGCTCTGGCCAGCTGCTGCTAATTGCTCATGCAAACCACGTGTCCTCGGTCAGGAGACCAAGACCATCCTGGCGAACACGGTGAAACCCCGTCTCTACTAAAAATACAAAAAAATTAACCAGGCGTAGTGGTGGGCGCCTGTAGTCCCAGCTTCTAGGGAGGCTGAGGCAGGAGAATGGCGTGAACCCGGGAGGCGGCGGAGCTTGCAGTGAGCGGAGATCGCGCCCCTGCACTCCAGCCTGGGTGACAGAGCGAGACTCCGTCTCAAAAAATAAATGGAAAAAAAAAATGAAAATAATAATAATTTTGAAAAGAATGTATAGGCTGGATACAGTGGGTCGCGCCTGTAATCCCAGTACTTTGGCAGGCCGAGGCAGGCAGATCACTTGAGGTCAGGAGTTCGAGACCAGCCTGACCAACATGGTGAAACCGTGTCTCTACTAAAATACAAAAATTAGACAGGCATGGTGGCAGATGTTTGTAATCCTAGCTACTCGGGAGGCTGAGGCAGGAGAATCATTTGAACCCTGGAGGCAGAGGCTGCAGTGAGCCGAGATCACGCCATTGCACTCCCCGCTGGGCAACAGAGGGAGACTCTGTCTCAAAAAAAAAAAAAAAAAAATGCTGTAAAACACTGCTGCTTGTTTGCAAAAATCAAATCCATCCTTAAAAAAAAATAAAATTTGTCACCCTTGATGAGGGTTAACCGTCAAGATTTACGGAGAATTTACCAAGGGTCAAACACTGGGCCTTCATTTTATTTTATTTTATTTTTTTGTCATGGAGCTTCACTTTTGTTGCCCAGGCTGGAGTGCAGTGACGTAATCTCAGCTCACTGAAACTTCTGCCTCCTGGGTTCAAGCGATTCTCCTGCCTCAGCCTCCCAAGTAGCTGGGATTACAGGCGCCCGCCACCATTCCCAGCTAATTTTTTGTATTTTTAGTAGAGACAGGGTTTCGCCATGTTGGTCAGGCTGGTCTTGAACGCTTGACCTCAGGTCATCCACCTGCCTTGGCCTCCCAAAGTGCTGGCATTACAGGCGTGAGCAACCATGTCTAGCCAACACTGGGCCTTTAAAATTGCATTTTTTTTTTTTTTTTTTTTGAGACAGAGTCTGGCTCTGTCGCCCAGGCTGGTGTGCAGTGGCCAGATCTCAGCTCACTGTAAGCTCCGCCTCCTGGGTTCAGGCCATTCTCCTGCCTTAGCCTCCCGAGTAGCTGGGACTACGGGTGCCTGTCACCTCGCCCGGCTAGTTTTTTGTATTTTTTAGTAGAGAAGGGGTTTCACTGTGTTAGCCAGGATGGTCTCGATCTCCTGACCTAGTGATCTGCCCCTCTCGGCCTCCCAAAGTGCTGGGATTACAGGCTTGAGCCACCGCGCCAGGCCTAAAATTGCATTATTTCAGTCAATCCTTGCCACAATCCTAGGCGCTGGATACTATCATCCCCATTCTGCAGATGAGGAAATTGAGTCTCAGAATAATGAAATAACTTGCCCAAAGTCACAAAGTTTGGAGGCTATTCAACCCCAAAGTGCAAACCGTTAACCATTATGTTATACCCTTTTTTCTTTCTTTATATATTGTTGTTATTAATTTTTTTAATGTTTTGGAAATTAAAAAACAGATGTATACAAAGAAGAAAATGTCAATCATTCATATTTCCAACAAGCAGATTAATAACTGATGGCCAGATTTTCCTCCAGCTTCCTCTGTTTAAAAATTTCTCCACCCGCCTTTGCTGAGAACATTCAGAGGAGTGTGCTGAAGGCCCCCAAAGCCATTTCTTTTTGTTTTATTTATCTATTTGTTTATTCTGAGACGGAGTCTCACTCTGTCACCCAGGCTGGCGTACAGTGGTGCGATCTTGGCTCACTGCAACCTCTGTCTCCGGGTTCAAGTGATTTTCCTGCCTCAGCCTCCTGAGTAGCTGGGATTACAGGCACACACCACCACGCCCAGCTGATTTTTTTGTATTTTTAGCAGAGATAGGGTTTTGCTGTGTTAGAGAGGCTGGTCTCGAATTCCTGACCTCAAGTCAGGAGTGATCTACCTGCCTCGGCCCCCCAGAGTGCTAGGATTATAGGTGTGAGCCACTGCGCCTGACCTGTTGTTGTTTTAGAGACAGGATCTCACTGTGTTGCCCAGGCTGGAGTGCAGTGATGCAATCATTGCTCACTGTGGCCTTGAATTCCTGGTCTCAAGAGATCCGTCTGCTTCAGCCTCCTGAGTAGCTGGGACCACAGGCGAGCACCATAAGGCCAAGCTAATTTAATTTATTTAAGTTATTTTATTATTTAATTAATTTTATTTATTTATTTTATTAATCATTCGTTTATTTTAGAGACAGAGTCTCACTATATTTACTTGGCTGGTCTTGAATTCCTGACCTCAAGAGGTCCTCCTACCTCAGCCTCCCACAGTGTTGGGATTACAGGTGTGAACCAACGTTCTCGGCCACCAAAGCCATTTCTAAAGAGTCAGGGCAGGCATGGTGGCTCACGCCTGTAATCCTAGCACTTTGGGAGGCTGAGGCGGGTAGAGCACGAGGTCAGGCGTTCAAGACCAGCCTTTTACCAGCCTGGTAAAACCCTGTGTCTACTAAAACTACAAAAATTGCAGGCACCTGTAATCCCAGCTACTCGGGAGGCTCAGGCAGGAGAATCACTTGACCCCGGGCAGCAGAGGTTGCAGTGAGCCAAGATCGCACCACTACACTTCAGCCTGGGTGACAGAGTGAGACTCCGTCTCAAAAAAAAAAAAACAAAAACAGCAGAATGGAGTTGTGTGTCAAACGGCCATGCTAGAATGGCTGGGATGCTCCCAAGATGCCAGCAGATAAGTCTGAGTATGTTGTGGCAAAGCCATTCTCATCAGGTGACAACACTGGATCAGGGTGGAAAGGGTTTCCAGGGAACGGGTGATGGTACTTGGTTGCCTCTAGGTACTTGCTTGCCCTGGGAACAGGAAACCTAAGCTGTATTCTTACCCCACCCAATGAGCCAGCCCCAAGGCCAACTCCTCCTGGGAGTGCTCCCGGAGCTGTCATCCGCCTCCGGAGGACCCACCCTGGCTCCTTCCTTATTCAGTCCTGACCTTCCTAATGTGCGTGTGTGTATGTGGTGTGTGTGAGAACCAATGAGCCCATGAAGGAAACAGTCCCTCCCTGTCCTCACACTCCAGACAGCAGCAGGCTCCCCGACACACGCACCTGACACTTGGCTCTGCCTGGATCACAGTGTGCACTCCTGTGCGTTAGACCCGTGTACACCTCACTCTCTCAATCTGTCGGACTGGGAGCTCCTCAAGGGCAGAGGCTGTTTTTTTCTGCACTATTTGGCATATTTGACATATAAAAGATAATCAGTAAATTGAGACATCAGCTATGGGGGAATGGAAAAAAAAATGCTTGGAATAAGACAGACGTAGTTTGTTGTTGTTGTTTTGAGACAGAGTCTCACTCTGTCACCCAGGCTGGAGGGCAGTGGCGCGATCTCAGCTCACTGCAACCTCTACCTCCTGGGTTCAAATGATTCTCCTGCCTCAGCCTCCTGAGTAGTGGGGATTACAGGCACCTGCCACCACGCTTGGCTAATTTTTGTATTTTTTAGTAGAGACGGGGTTTCATTATGTTGGCCAGGCTGGTCTCGAACTCCTGACCTCAGGTGATCTGCCCTCCTCGGCCTCCCAAAGTGCTGGGATTACAGGCGTGAGCCACCGCCCCAGGCCCAGACAGACCTAGTTCTGATTCCCATTCTGCCACATTAGCTGCTGTGTGACTTTGGGTGAGCAACTCAATCACTCTGAGCTTCGGGTTGCTTATTGCTAAATTGAGAACACTATAATCAACCTTTGAGTTTGATAAATGACGACCGAACGGGTCCAGGTATGTCACACACCTCAGCATAGTGCCTGGCAAAAAGCATGCAATGTTTCTGGACCACAGTGGGGGTTAAGGGGCCTGGATTCTGTTCTGAGCTTTGCCTTTGTCCTGGAACAGGGTATTCAACTTCTCCAAAGCCCAGTGCTCTCATCTGTGAGAAGGGGGCATCTCCACACCCACTTCACAGAACTGTGGAGCACTTTCAACTTAAAATGATACACAGGAAAGTACCTGACACACAGTAGCTACTGAAAGAAACCTTTGTTACATCGTCTAGACAAACGGTGCCTGACCCTTTATACTCTGGAATCTCCCAGTGCTCAGGTCTATAACGAGACAAAAACACACTCTAGGATAGTTATTGGCAGTTAGGTCCAGCCCAGGGGAGCTTCCCATTTAGAGAACACGGGGGCAAGTTGCCAAAAACCTCAGCTCTCCACACCACAAGGTCCACGGTTCCAAGGTACCCATTTCCTTTCCCAGCAGAAAGAGTCCAGGTCTTCCTATAAAGACAAATCACGCCGTCCCTCGTAAGAGCTGCAAGCAAGGATAGAGACAGAGCAAGACACACGCTTCGATTCAGGATGTTCTGTGATGTTTATAATTAGAAAAGTTGCTCGGAACACGACAGAACCTTGGGGAGGCTGATGGGGAAGCAGTCCAGACTAGGCTGGACTTTGAAAGAGGACCCACAGGAAGGAAAGGCAAGGTGGCTGGGGGTGCGGGGTGGGGTTCTAAGTCCCAAGGTAGGTTGCTAGGAGGGGTGCTGGCCTGGGCTGGAGTGTAATTGGGAAACATCATCTCTGCCTAGCCTCTGTAGGGCTGGGGCCCACTGGGCAGGTGTCCCCAGGGCTGTGAGACATCTTTGTGAAGTTCTCCAGGTGGCTGTCACAGGCGGTGGGCATTCTCTGGCTATCACTGGGTCTTCTGCAGGTCCTCAGGCCCAAAGGAGGAGGGCAGCAGCTCCTGGACCGTCATGACAACATAGGTACCATCCGGCTTGGTCATGTACACGGGCCAGTTGGTGCCAAACTGGAAAAGAGGCAAAGCTGGCGTGAGAGATGCAGCGTGGCTGAGGGTCCTGAGACAGACTGGGTTTGAGTCTGACTCTGCCACTCACTGGCTAATGTTCCTCTCTTTGCCTTGATTTTCTCATCTGTAAAATGGGAATGACCATAATTGTTCCTGGATCATAGCGCTGTAGGGAGGAGAAAATCAAAGAATTCTGTGAAACTGAACAGTGCATGGCACATGGTGAACAGGCACCATTCAGGACTCACCCAGGGCTTCATAAGAGCAACAGCCGGCTGGGCGCAGTGGCTCACGCCTGTAATCCCAGCACTTTGGGAGGCTGAGGCTGGCGGATCACAAAGTCAGGAGATCGAGACCATCCTGGCTAACACAGTGAAACCCCGTCTCTACTAAAAAATACAAAAAAAGTAGCCGGGTGTGGTGGCGGGTGCCTGTAGTCCCAGCTACTTGGGAGGCTAAGGCAGGAGAATGGCATGAACCTGGGAGGCGGAGCTTGCAGTGAACTGAGATCACGCCACTGCACTCCAGCCTGGGTGACAGAGCAAGACTCCGTCTCAAAAAAAAAAAAAAAAAAGGCGACAGCTAACCCCTGGAACCAGACTTCCTTCTGCTATGACAAATGACAACTAACACCTGCTTCCCTTACAGTATCCCCTTTACACCTCACACCAGGAGAAGTCGCCTGCCACATACACTCAGTGTATTAGTCTGTTCTCAAGCTGCTAATAAAGACATACCCGAGACTGGGTAATTTATAAAGAAAAGAGGTTTAGGCCAGGCATGGTGGCTCATGCCTGTACTCCCAGCACTTTGGGAGGCCGAGGTGGGCGGATCACGAGGATAGGAGATGGAGACCATCCTGGGTGAACATGGTGAAACCCTGTCTCTACTAAAAATAGAAAAAAATTAGCCACGCGCAGTGGCAGGAGCCTGTAGTCCCAGCTACTCAGGAGGCTGAGGCAGGAGAATCGCTTGAACCTGGGAGGCAGAGCTTATAGTGACCCGAGATGGCGCCACTGCACTCCAGCCTGGGCGACAGAGCAAAACTTCATCTCAAAAAACAAAAGACAAGAAAAGAGGTTTAATGGACTCACAGTTTCACATGGCTGGGGAAGCCTCACAACCATGGCAGAAGACGAAGGAAGAGCAAAGGGATGTCTTACCTGACAGCAGGCAAGAGAGGACTTGTGTGAGGGAACTCCCGTTCCCTCATGAGACTTATTCACTATCACGAGAACAGCATGGGAAAGACCTGCCCCCACGATTCAATTGCCTCCCACCAGGTCCCTCCCAAGACACGTGGGAATTATGGGAGCTACAATTCAAGATGAGATTTGGGTGGGGACACAGCCAACACCATACCACATAGATACTGCACATGCATGGTTTCATTATCTACCCTGTGAGGTAGGTGCTATTATGATGCCCATTTTACTGATGAGGAAACGGAGGCTTAGCAGGGTAAAGTCAGCAAAGAAAAATTTGTCTCTTGAGTTTTCTCCTATGCTATGAGGAGCACTGTTTGTTTGCTGTGTGACCTTGGGAAAATGATAATTTTCTGGGGCTCACTCAGTGTCTTGGTCCATAGAATGGTTTTAGGGATGGGCGAATGCAGGGTAGTAGGCAAGAGGTTAATCAGCAGTGGCATCATGACAAGAGCCCTGGAGGTGGGGTCAACAGACCCAAGCTCTTCCTAGCCAGGTATTGTGAGATGCAGAGATGATTCATGTAAAGCGTCTCTACGCACATGGTAGGTGCTCAATTAATAGATGTCATTCTTATGGATTATGTTGGTAACCAGTGACTACTTAGGTCTGCAGCCTTCTGTTCTTCCACACTTCTCTCTGAATCACCAAGTTATTGCCAGGCACACTCAATCTTCTGGCTTTCTTAGAATTAATGTTTTAAGGAAGGAAATTTTTCTGCTTAACTGGCTCTGCCTGAGGGTAGGTATGGACGAAAGTTGAGTGGAGGGCGAGTTTACGTGCCAGGTCCCTGGCCCCAACGCCTCATCTCTTATTATTTGCATTTTGGTTTCAGTTTCGCCCCTGCCTCCTTCAGCTTTTTCATTTGCCTTCTGTCGTTTGCCAACATCCAATCTGTTTGGAGAAAACAGCACCGAGCAATTGGATCACGTCGGGGCCTTGGGAGCCAGAGACTTGGCACCCTGTCTGTCGTGGTTTCCTTATATGACCTTCGACATTTTCACTGTGCAGGCCAGCTATTTCTGACCTTCTTAAGTGAGATAAATTCCGCAGTGTAAATTCACTGCTTTCCCAGTGGTATGTTTTTGGATTTGGGAAAAGTGTCTGATTTGTACTCCTGGCAGGAAACAGGAGGAAGATGGAAGCGTCTGCGTCCCCGGATGCTTTGAAACCCCACGGCACAAAAACAAAGCTAAAACAACACCCTTTCTCCCAAAACACAACTCCAAAAGCAGAAACTCCCACAGTACAAGCAGCATTCACATGCCAAAGTAACATTATGTTTCCTCCATGGCTGAAAATAATTTTGTCCAACTTACAGAATCACAAAGACAGAGAGGCAGCCGTGAGGAGCATGGGCTTCAGAGTCAGCCTGATGGGCCATGGATACCCGTATGTCACCGCCTGGCAGGGGGCCCTTCAGTAAGTCATTTTACTCCTCTGAGCCTCAGAGTAGTCACTGGGCAATGGGAATAATGACATGCACTTCCCTCAGTCTTGGGGAGGGGATCAAACAAGATGCTGTAGGTATGTATTTATTTTTGAGACAGGATCTCGCTCTGTCGCCCAGGCAGGAGTACAGTGGCTTGATCACGGCTCACTGCAGCCTTGACCTCCCAGGCTCTAGTGATACTCTTACCTCAGCCTCTGGAGCAGCTAGGACCACAGGCATGTACCACCATGCCTTGCTAATTTTTAAATTGTTTGAAGGGACCGGGTTTTACTATGTGGCTCAGGCTGGTTTTGAATTCCTGGGCTAAAGTGATCCTCCTGCCTCGGTCTCCCAAAGTGCAGGGCTTACAGGTGTAAGCCACCATGCCCACAAGATGCTGTGTTTCCAGGGGCTGACGGTACTATGCTGGAGCTCAGGGCCTGTGGGATTCTCTAATCTTTTGGGACTCTAGAGGACACACATCTCTGTGATAATCCACAATAGTTACTAACATTCCCCATTCCCCAAATGTACACATAAACATGAAAACCTCCCCTTGAGCCTGGATTAAGAACCCATGATCTAAACTATCCCTTCATTTTCATTTTTTTGTTTTGTTTTATTCTTTTTTTTTTTTTGTGGAGAACAAGGTCTTGCTATGTTGCCCAGGCAGGTCTCCTGGGCTCAAGCAATCCTCCTGCCTCTGCCTCCCTAACTGCTGGGATTACAGGCTGAGCCACCACACGTGGCCTACCCTTTTGGGTTTGTTTGTTTGTTTGTTTGTTTGTTTTGGAGATGGAGTCTTGCTCTGTCACCCAGGCTGGAGTGCAGTGGTGCGATCTCGGCTCATTGCAAGCTCCGCCTCCTGGGTTCACACCATTCTCCTGCCTCAGCCTCCCGAGTAGCTGGGACTACAGGCACCCGCCACCACACCCAGCTAATTTTTTTGTATTTTTAGTAGAGACGGGATTTCACTGTGTGTGTCAGGATGGTCTCGATCTCCTGACCTCGTGATCCGCCCGTCTCATCCTCCCAAAGTGCTGGCATTACAGGCTGAGCCACCACACCTGGCCTACCCTTTTGTTTTTAGAGTTGAAGAAATTGCAGCCTTCCATCAAGAGGACTTTTATAAAAAGTACTTCAGATCTCTCAAGTCTCTTCTTGAAAATACCCAATGGCTTACCAATGTATTTAATGTGATAAAATATATATAACGTAAGATTTGCCATTTTAACCATGTTTAAGTGTACACTTCGGGCTGGGCGCGGTGGCTCACGCCTGTAACCCCAGCACTTTGGGAGGCCAA